GGTTGTTAGCCTCCTGCTACAGCATGAGCAAAATCGAATGAATCTCCCGCTAGAACTCGGAAAGATACATCGCCATATCCAGGCCTTCTTCCTCCCAACGTAATACCGCATACCTATGCCGCTCGAACCCTCGTCTTATCCCCAAATCTGGCTTCGCCCTGGCAAAAAGCGCTGGGGGCGAGTCTCCATTTGCCCGATCTCGTCGACAACGAGCACAGAGTAACTTTCTTCCTCCAAAATACGCCCCCACCTCCACACAGTCTATTCCTCGTCTAACTCCCCTTCTCACTAATCTTTGCCTAAATCTAATGTCAAAATCACAATAGCCGTGTCAAAAGACCCTTATTCCGACCTTTATCCCACACGATTCCATCAAGGATCGAGTGATATCTCGATTTTACTCTCCCGTCATTCCGCTTTTCCACCATCACTCCGCGCACTCTCTTTTCTCCATACGGTCTACCCCACTAACTCTCGTACTAATATGACATGACCGTCCGACTCGCTCGGGGCTAAAACCTCGGTGATGGTTCTTTCCCTGCCTGATTTCGTCAAGGATCGGGTGGGTTTACGTTCTCCACTCTCGCTTGTTGCTGCCATAGCTCGTGTTTGCCCTTCCTGCGCTCTTCTTCCCCCACATGCACGGGGCGACTCCGCATCCAGATTCACTCGAATTTTCCCCCTCACTCACCACCTTTGGTCCCGGCTACTCCGTGTTACTCCCCGTCATAACGCTTGGCCCCACACAGCGCACTCAATGAGATTCTGAGTGGAACCAGCTACTAGACGACCGATTAGTCTTCCGCTCCTATACCCAAGTCCGACGGACGGCCGCACGCAGTAGCAGCGCAACAACCTTTGCAATGTCTCTAGGCGCCCTGCCCAAGCAAAGCCGCCTTCCTTTTTTCCGGGCTCCCAACGGGCGGCTCACACAGACAACGGCTACAGTTCCGGCGCGCGGGCTGCAAACCCGTAGCACGATCTCAGGTGCAGCAGGCCCTGGCGCAGACCTTGGTGGTAGTAGCAAATATTCAAATACGGACTTACATGACCAAAGTGGGGGGGGGTTCCACGTGACCAACAACCTGGGCACTGCGGTCACGGCCCTGGTGCCCCTGCCTCGGCATAGTCCACCATCTTCCGGGTCTCGACGGGCACGCTCACACCCAAACCTCTCACAGCAACCCGCGGATAACAGTGCTCCTGCGGTCTGCGGAAATGCCCACGCCATTCAGTTTTTTTCCGCCTCGTGAGCTAGTCACCCGCCTGCTTGCATACACGTCGGACTCCTCGGTCCGCGTTTCAAGACGGCCAGGATGGAGGAACTTCGCCAGCATTCCGGACACTCAGGAACCCGAACTTGGGTCCGTTTTTCATCAGTTCAACGGTATACCCACTGTGATGGGCCTTTTGGGTCCGCGACCGGTCTCGAAACTTGTGCCGGGCCCAGATAGAAAAAAAAAAAAAAGAATAATAATAATAAATTAAAACCAACCCCAAAAAATAAAGACGAGAAAACTAAGGGGACCGGGGTGCGGGACTTACCAATGCTTCCCTCGGCCCTGGAGGACGGGCCTGCGATCGGACTCCCCTGACAAAACTAAGAGGAATAGTCCCGCGAGACCCTCAACCCCTCAACCCCTCAACCCTTCCAACGCTCCGCTGCCCCTGCGCCGACGCCTACTAGCCTCGAGCCCCGTACCTCTGCCATATAAGTCCAATGTCACAACCTATAGGGCTAAGCCTAAGCCTGGGATTGACCCGCGCAAATTTCCATAAAAGATAATACGGCGCAACGCCTAAACCTTATAAACGGCCCAGGTTTTTATTCCTACCTATAACTGGGTGCGTTGCCGATCGACACCTGCGCAGGCTCGTTCGGACTGCGCCATGGTTACTATGTATGCTGTACAACATACCATCCCGACCATTAGTAGTAGATATGTCAAACTCAAAACAAACTATAATAGCGAAAGAGTCAGATCAACCCAAAAAGAAGATCACGCGTGCGCCTTAAGACTGCGCGCCCACATACCCTCTACCTTAGCCAAGGTAAGTCACAGACGCGACCGTGCCTCGCACAACCTATCTTGATCCAAACTTACTTCCTGTTATTTGCAAAAACCAGGGCGGATACTCTTGTCAGGGTATTCCCGTCAACAACTTACCGGACGATATTAAGCAACGTCCCCATTGCTTCGTAAATAAAAAAGCTATAAATCTATTCACATTCCAAATGCTGACGAGAGCGGAACCAATCCGATTAGCCGAGATACTCGGGGTTGAGGCCTCCAACAATCGGTGTCAACATAACTATATGCCGCCAGGGTTCCAACCTGGGTTTCCATTGTCCTGACATTAGGACGCTGGGGTATTACGCATCAATACTACGGCATAAGTTCCAAAGGGCCTGGCCCCCTCAAACCGTCCTCTTCCCTTTGCCCTAGACAAACGCCGGCTCCTCGTTGAGTATCCCGGCTAGACTCTGTCTCGTAAGCAGAGTCATACCCAGGGACGCGGACCTTAAATGGGACCTTAGAAGACACTCTCACCTTCCTTGCGGAGATTTCTCACAATCAAACACACATGCCTATATACACTTAAATCTCATCTCAGCTCTTTCTGGACTCTAGTACGGAAATGCTCGGTTCCCATCCTGGCTCACCATAGTCTGGTTGATCGAGCCAGATTAACGGCCTATCGCATTGTTATCTTAGCGACAGTATCCTTTGTTGGTTACGCAACGATAAAGTTTCTCCTGATAAGCATTCAATCAGGACTACCAAAGACTCGGCTCATATCCCCCGCCATCTCATTGGAGTAATTCCCCGAGGCGTGCATAACCCCTTAAACTCTTACCCCTTTGGCAGATGAGGGCCCACTGCCAGGTTGTGTTGGCAAACAACCATCTACTAGGGGTTGCGCCCTAGAGGTGCTAACCTTTGCCGCTTACCTTGGTCTTCCTTAAAATGCCCCGGGATTAGCACAAGTGTTTGGGCGGTATGTCGCAACAAACTACATGCCCACTGCGGGACTACGCAGGGGTTTTGTCTCACATAAAGACGTTTACCAGTTCCCTATAGGACAACATAGGGAGCACGACACCCTTCTCACAATCACAAACAAAAGTCACCGCCAGGTTCACAAGGCCGCGGCCCGTGACTTGATCAGAGTTAGCAAGCCGCTCATCCCAATGACACCCACCAAATGCATTGATTTGCGACATGCTCAATTTCATCCAAAACAGCCTTTCTGGTCCTTCTCGTCAGACTTTATCAACTCAGACTTTGCTTACCATGCCTTTAATCTTAACCACCTTTCACACAAAGAAGGTCTCTCTCAATAGGTCTCCCAGCCACCCCTCTCTTTATAGGATGAGCTATCACGCGACCTGTTTTTAAAACACCTTCTTTTTGAAGATGAGTCTTCCAATAAACAACATCACCACCTTCCTTAATCTGAAGGGGTCTTAACCATAAAACAACTCAACCTGAGGGACCAACTTATGGGTCCTCTTCACAACTCAACCATAAACATTCGGCATGGTAAGCATTCGAGTCTCATAGACTCGCAAGACCCCTTAGGGTCCTCACACTTCTGTCACAAAACAACCGCACTATCTCTCCTTATACTCGGCCCTCTCACCCGCCCGTAGGCAGATCGCACGAGTATACCGAAGAGTAGACGACATTCACAATCACACAATACAAGACATATGAGATGTATCCTACACATCTCCCACACAAAGCCATCATACATTGGGATAAAACCACACATGCGAGAGTGATTGTGATCGTCACAAGAATAAGTCTCACAGAGTCGGAAGTCAAAATACACTCGGGAGCAAAATATCTCCCTCAAGGCCTAATACAAATACTCAACTCATCACCCCACTCGTCTGAGCAGAACTCACACTCTTAATGTACAACTCACAGAACACACTCAGAGGTACTCACTCCTCTGTCCCACTCCCGCTGAGTAAACTCATGTCCCAAGTGTTACAATACCCTCAAATCCTCTCAATAATACAAACAAATCCGAACTACGGATTTTTAAAGCGTAAACTGAATACTCACACACGTCACACAACTAAGAGCTATCCCCTGAGCCACACAAAGAAACCCTCCAGACCCACCAAGTGCAACCACCTATATATATACAGCTAGACAGGGCTCACCTGACCAACTCAAGGCATGTACTCCTCTAGGACTCACTTGGCTGACTCAGGACATGTGTATCTCTAGGACTCATCCTCTCCATACAAAAAGAACTCTAGTCCTACTGGACTATAGACAAACCAGCCCCTACTCACTCATCTCCTCCTGGTTTTTCCTATATAACTGAGCCCTACCCCCGTCTGCAATCCTTTCTACCACCCTGCCCTGTCTGTCATAGAATCTTCCACCCATTGCTGTAACTCGCCCTGCCGCCTCGTCCTTAAGAAACCCCTCACACTGCAGAGACCGGTGCCCTTCCTTCTTGCAGAAGAAACTGGACGAGTCAAACCACTTCTTGGACCTCTCCTTCCCCTGGGGGTTTGAACTCGATGGGCCGCAGTTGTCTCAGTGGCCTCCTCGTAACATAGTGGCAATCCCAAACACCCCTGAGGTCCGGATTCCGTGGCCTTGACACTCTAACTACTTTGTGCGCCCGCATCCCCTAGTCTATACTCGGGCGTGTCTAGTCTCTGGGGTTTTTCTAGCGGCATGTCTACCTCCATAGCTGCCACCAGCGTCCAAACGAGATGCTTCCTCCTCCATCGTCTCGGGTTCAGTGGGCGCTACTGCCCCCGTAGGCGTGCCTCCCCGTACTTCCAGCAAGATCGTAGGGGACTCTTCCACGAAACCCCCTTCTGCTGGTGCGATTGGGGCCTCTGTGCTGGCTCCTCTGCACGGGTCTCACTCGACATAGGGGTTGCGTGCTGCGAGGCAACTCCGTGGGAGCCCTGAAGCTGAAACTCTTCTCTCTGGCTTTCCTTTGGGCCTCCGACTCCGCTGGATCCAGGAACACCTTCTTTATCTTTTCCTGTTGTGGTGACTCTACCACCCCTCCACGACCAAAGAGTCCCTTCACCTCCTCTCCCTGGATACCATATCTGCTCTGCTCTGTCCAGTCGACCACCTTGGTGGCCGAAAGCCTCTCCACTGCCGCCGCCATATCTTGGAGCCTCTTCTCTCATTCAGCTTCCTTGACTTCCATACGAGACCTCCAAGCTTGGTTCTCCGCCTTCTCTTCTGCTAACTGAGTAGACAGTTGTTCCACCTCCAACCTTGAGGTCGCCAACTTATCACTGAGCGTGGTATATCGCTGGAAAGACGTGGTCGCCGCCTGACGTATCCTCCTCTTTGCTCGCTCGATTGCCATCCTGGCGGCTGAGAATCCCAAGTCTTCAGTCTCTCTTATCTCGTTCGTCCTCTCGTCTTCCTGTCCTGCCTTTCGCGACCTCAGACGGGCGGCATCCCTCCTACCCTCATACCTAGCCCATGCCTCGCCAACCCTCTGCTCACTTGTCCTGGGATCGACCGGTGGTGTCGGCGTCTCTCCTGCGGCCTCCATCCTGACTTTTGCCTCATATATTTCGGCGAGGTGCGCTTGCACTCTTGCGGACTTCTCCTCAGCCGTCTCCCCTGATAGCCTTCTTGCTTGCGCCTCGTAAACCTCTCGCGGCGGAACCTCTGCACTCATTCCTTCCTCTGCATGAGGCAACTTTGGCGGCGGCTCATCGGATGCTGGCATCGCAGTATCCAACTGCTCGGCCACATGTTCGGCTCGCTGCGAGGTGACAATCGTACACGCCTCCGCCCTTTCGCTCTCCTCTTGTTCGTCTGGCTCCGCCCTCTTCGGGGGTGAAGTGATACTTTCCGAAGGGGGTACTGGAATCTCCTCACTATCTGGCTCGGGAATCCCTTCTGGCCAGGGTCGCCGTACTAGCTCCGGGACTGGGGTATGAGGAGGGGTATTGTCTCCAACGGTAATGACCTCCTCTGCCTGTAGCTCTCCAGGCTCATGATCAGGGCCCTGTAGCTCTTCAGCCGGCTCATACCGCGCTGGCTCAACCGGACCTGCTCCCAATTGCGAAGTCCCCCATTGGGACGCATCAAGGTGGGCTTCCAGACTTCCGAGCGGCGTTTCCAATGGTACACCCTTCCCTCCCTCTGGCAACTCCGGCGAAGGGTCCCGTAGGTCACTGCCCGTGATTTGACGAAACTCCACTTGCTCAAGCCCGTGAGTAGGGGGTGGCTCCGTTGCCTGAGCCGGCTCCACTGACTCCTCCTCTCGCCGAGCCAAGGCCTTTCAGCCTCTCCTAGCCACCTCGGCTCCTCTCGTCTCTGGGTCCCGTGACCTCTTGCTCCTCTGCCTTCTTTCAATCCTGGGCTCCGGTCTCTCCGGCTCTGGCCGCCGGAATGCCTGCCTCAACTGAGCCTGACAATCCTCCCAATCACGCGCCCTGTCCCAGATTGTCCTCGCCAATGGCCTTTCTGCCCTCCGCGTCCAGAGGAGCAATGTCTGCATCCATTCTTCTTGCACAGTCCCCTGACCGCGCATATACTGCTCGTAAGTTGGGATGAATTCCTCCGCATTGCCTTCCTCCAAACGGATGGGAGATCATCGCGCCCCACTGGCGAAGCCCTCAGCTCCTGCATCCTTGCCTCCACATCCAACCAGTTCAACGCCTCCTCCCAAATGTGCGCCGCGATAGGCTCCTCGAAACGCCCAACCCATCTCAAATTCCGTAATATCCTCTCCAAGGTAGACCACCCCTTTCGGGCGGCATCAGCCTGGTAGGTGTCTAGGAAGAACTCTATGTTATCATCGTCGAAGACAGGCGTGGACTGTCTCCCAAATGACCTGCGCTAATCATCCCCTCGAGATGCTCTCAGGGACCTTTGCCGTGGCCGTGCGACCCTCCCGCCCCTCTGTATGACTGTTTTCGGAAAGTCAGACCTGCACATCAGGCGAGAGAAAGCAGACAGGCACACAAAAAGATCAGCCATCAAGTCCACCAAGTCTTACGACAACACATATACCCCTACCCTCTCCACCTTCTGCTTAGTCTAACCAGGACATGCAACACTTTAAGACAATGGCTTATTCTGAGGGGTATGAAACTCATTACTTATTCCCTGGCCACGAACTTCTTTAACCTGGTCCCTGAGACCCAATCCTGCCATCCTGTTCCGACCAGTTCCTCGATCTGGTAGGCTCCAAATTCGCTGCATCGCAAGATCTTATAGGGCCCCATCCACCTTTTGTCGAACTTTCTCGACCATTGCTTCTCCAAAGAGGAGTCGTACAACAATATGACATTCCATACTGCGAATGATTCCTTCCTTACTCGCGCCATCTGGTCCCATCACATCTTATCCTCCATGCGGTTTCTTTCTACCTGATTGGCGGCCTTTTGCAACCTTTCTTCAGCGGCCCCTACTTGCCGAGCCCGGATATCGAGCAATTCCTCGAAAGACAGATTAACTTCCAAGTCTTGGCGCCTCCAAGTTTTCATGAAACTTTCTATGAGAAAGGTGGCATACCTCCCATACCATAACGTGGCTGGCGCGTACTTGGTAGTTCTCTTCATTGTGGCATTCTCCACGAAGAAGGCTGCTCGCAGGAACTTCGGTCACTGACCAGGCCTGCCTTCTGTCCACTTGGCAAGGAGGTTCGTGATGGTATTGTGTCCCCTTTCCACAAACGCATTTGCTTGAGGATGTGCAACAATAGTACAATTCGCCGCTACGCCATACCCTGCAAGCAAGGTCCGTACCTCGTTACAGGTGAATTCTGACCCTCGATCCATCACGAACTCTTTAACGAAAGGATAGCATAAATAATACTCTTCGATGCAACTTGCCAATACTGGGCCGGTCTTCGTGCGAATGACCTGACCGTCCACAAACCCAGTGAGGTTATCTTGCGCATCGAAAATGTAGTTACATCCATTCTCCCTAACTGGCATGAAAAGCAGATCCAGATGCACGACTGCACCCACTTCTCTCTCCAACCTTGGGTGTAGGGGCTCCCCTGGTCTTTGCACCGATCTCTCCTGGCAAGGTACACAAGACTGGCAGTACTTGATGACGATATTCAACATCCCATCCCAGTAGTATAACTCGCTAATCGTTGCGTACGTGGCATTTACTCCCCTGTGCCCTCCTGCTATACCGTCATGCAATGCTGCGATGACATCGATCTGTCGGTTCCTCCCACATACAATTCTCTTGGGATTCCCGACCTGCCGCTTTATGAACAAATGGTCATCTCTTACTACATAGAGGTGCCTTATCTTCTGCGCTTTAACACTTGCATCCCTGTCCCTCGTCTCATAGGACAGGAGCAGTCCTAACTCCATGTAAATTCCATCGTATTATTCCGCACGAAAGACTTCCTTGATCTCTCCTTCCTCGAATTCATCATTCCGGCTTTCAGGAACAAAGTCCTCAGTCTCCACAGGACCGAATGAACTCTTTCGATCAAACTTTCCCTGCAGAAGCGTATTTGTAAGCAGATACATCCCTCCCATCAACTGCTCATGCTCCTCTACTTGGGTAGGTCCTTCCTCTATCGTCCTTATTTCCTCTTGCCAGACTATGTGTACCGGCCAATGCCAACTTCATCATCCAGTTGACATCCTTACTTCCCCAGGGATCCTCCTCTTGAAAGGGCTTGAGGACCAACTCCTTCTTTTGCTCGTACCCCCTGGGCGCTAGCCATATGGGGTGACTGACGCAACTAGGTACTCGCAAGGACCATTCGTTTATATGGAGACAAACGTCTTCTTCTTGGTCCAAAAACCCATCAACGGGTAGAGTGTCTTCTATCGACTCTTGGTTTGACCCATCCCAGTTGATGCGGCTCAACCCATCTGCCCTGTTTTTGTCCCCTGAAATTCTCTCCAACTCAAAGTTAAACATCCAAATGTACGTCAACCATCTTGCGACGGTTGAGTCAGATGGAGTATAGTTCTTCAGGGAGCAGGCGAGCGCAGTGGGGTTCACCCTTAGTATAAACCTCCTGCCAAAAACATAGTTCCGGAAGATCCTTAGGCAATGGAGTACCGCAAGCATCTCCTTTTTAAACTGAGAGTAGTTCCTCTCAGTCGTATTAAAAGTCCGACTCTCGAATCTTGGCGGCCTTTCCTTCCCTTCAGCATCTGCCTAAACCAAAACTCCTTCTAGGGCAGTGGGTCCAGCGTCCGTCTTAATGATGAACGACTTTTCCTCGGTGACTTCGTAGTTAGGCGCTCCCAACACCAAACCTCCTTCTTTAAACTCCCCTTTCATCCGCTTCACAGCCTCTTCCTAATCTCCACCCCAAACCCATTCCTGATCCTGACGCACCAGCTTCCTTAAATGCTCAGTCTTGGCGACAAAGTTCTTCACGAAACTCCTCCAAAATCCACAAGTGCCGAGGGAGCTCCTTACGTCTGTTATCGAGCGGAAGGGTCCTGACCACTCCACGATTTTGTCCGTCTTCTTCACGTCAGGCCTTCGACCATTTTCATTACAGACAAAACCCAGGATGGTTGCTTCTCTCATGCAATGATTGGACTTCGGGCCACTCGCTGTAAGGTTATACTCTTCCAACAGGCTCAGGACCCGATCAAGGTCCTTGATATGCTTCCAAACAAAACGCCTTACGTCGGGAATTACTTCATCTTCCTCTCTTTCTTTCGGGCCTTTAACCGCCAGGTCATCAATATAGGGCTGCGTGATGTGGGGACTGACCGTCTGCATGGCTTTAATCATGTGTCTTTGCACCATTGCCACTGCATTTGTCCAGCCTTGAGGGGCTACATTCATATGAATTAGCCCCCTAGGCGTATGCAGTGTCGTTACAGGCCTGTCTGGCGGGTATACCGGAAACTGGTCATACCCAGAGTAGAGGTCTATAAGTGAGATTATAGGCCTTCCCGCGCATGACTCTGACAAGGCGTCCGCATTTGGCAATCCTCCCGCGTCTCGCACCATCACCGCATTGAGCCGCTGCAAATCCTGTACCCATCGTAGCGTCCAATTTAGCTTGACGAAACAAAACCAAGAGGATGCATACGGCCCGCTGGAATAGTCGGCAACGTGCGTGCGCATCTTGCCATCCAGGTAGTCCACCACCATCTTTGCTTCATCTGGGTTGGGATACCGCGTGCCTCTCAGATTCCAAGGTTCGTGTGGGACCATGTGGATCCGGATCATCGGGATCTTGTCCACATCCAGCCTCCCACGCTGATCGTCATTAAATGCGTGCGCACGACGTCTTTTCTTCATCAACCCCACCATCAGAGCTCTCTCCTGGGGTGAAAGGAAGTCGGGTTCCCCAATCATCAGCTTCTCTTCGTTTCCCTCATTGATACGACATGGACCACTTGCTGCCTGCTCCCGCATGCGCTGTATCAATCCCCGTTCCCGCTCGTAATAAGCCTCCTCATCCTCAATAACGAGCACGGGAACTGGGCGGCACTTCTTATCTATTGTTTTGTACTGCCTTTGGGAGCCCTGCTTAAGCTGTCTCCTAAAAAAGGCCGGCTTGCCGTTTGCACCTGTGCCATTGCCGGGCCTCCCCTTCTGCCTGGAAGCTGATAAACCAGCCCCACCTCTCCCACCTGAGGGCTCTCTAAAACCTGCTCCCTCAGCGCCCTAATGGCCTCGGGGTCTGCCATGTCATGCGCTGCCACCACCTCCATAGCCTTATTCACATCAATAAGGCTCAGCGTCAGCACTTCGCCCCCTCCTTCCTCTTCGGGCAGCTCCCAGAGCCTCCGTCGCTCATTCTCGGACTCCTCAAAAGGTGAACGAGCCGAGGTTAGGCCTGTTCCTCCCGCTCCCTAGTCCCGTGTTCCGACAGGTAATGACTTCGTAATTCCCGCAGGCCGGGTTAGACAGGAGTAGGATCATCGTCTCATCGTGCTTGTTAAAGATCAGGGTCTTTGTCCGGCATAGGAACGATCTCCCCAGGAGGATGGAGTGGTCAACATCTGGCATGACAAAGAAGGAGGTTCTCACTATCGAGCGCATTGGTCCAGCACCTCACCAGGGCAGCGAGGGACCCTCCCGGCCGGGTCACGCAGGAGTTGGTTTTAAATCCTTCGTCGCGAATATACATGGAGCTTCCGCAAGCCGCTCCGGCCGAGTGCGCCAGCCTTACCTCTCGCGAGCCCCTACGGCAGGATAGGGCCTATGCTAGGCACAAATTACCTCCACCTTACGGGAGCTGTCACCTCCCTTCGGTGGGCGTATCCCCGCCGAGCTACCAGTCCACAGTACGAAAGCTAATCGGTTGCAATCGCAGAGGTGGACCACCCAAGGGCGTTTCTCGTTCGGTGTAGCATAGGGGGTACGTGCGGTAGTACGCCTATCGGGCCCGCACGCGAACCGATATCTTGGGGGGCTGAGGTCCCAAGCGCGACTCGTCGTCTGTCGATTAGGACGCATCCCACACACCACGCGCACACCATTTTACGAACACAAAAAAATAAAACACACACACACACACACACATCAAACAACGCGACAACACTCCTAGTCCCTTCAGTAGCCATCCCATAACTCTCCGATGCGGAAATCAGATAGGCGTCGCGCGCGAGACTGGATATAAAACCGCGCGGACGCAGGGCTATCTCATATCGACTCGCAATGCAAACGTTCGCACGCAGTCGCAATGAGGGCGTACTATGTAGTGCCCACAATCAAGCAGTCCCTCGTGGATCCGAGTACCGCTTATGACACTCAAGTATCAGACTCAAAGTGTTGTGAGGGTCCAATCCCTCACGACATTGCACGGCTGAAGGAATAGTCGTTTAGCCGCCGCGAGACCTCTGGCCTTTGGTCTGAGCGTCTCGGTAGGCAAGGCAAATAGGTTCTGCACGGGGTCAGATTCCTTTCCTGCAGAGTCTAGGAATTGGGATGTCCTGGACAAGGACCTTGAATCCCGGCCCAGGACCAACGTCCGACTATAAAAATCTCTAAGAAGCAAAGGATAAAAGGGGATCCCCCTTTCCTCTCAAGCCATAATTTGATTAACTCTTGCACACGATCACAGTAAGCCGCGCGCATACCCAAGGCACATACAAATATATACATAAGGCCTATTTATATAGGACGATCGCTTCTCACAGTCACAGTGGGACTCCTCTCAGCCATATATGTATGTAATTGCAGACAGTCACATCCAGAGTCCGAAC